CTCCATGCTGAGCACAGAGCCTGATGCAGGGCTCAATCCCAGGACTCTGAGATCATGACCTGAGCTCAAATCAAGAGTCAGATGCTTAACCCACTGCACCACCCAGGTATCCCATGAATGAAATTCTGGCACATGGTATGACATGGATGAACCTTGAAAACATTATGGTAAGTGAAAGAAGCCAGTCATAAAGACTGAATATTATAGGATTCTATTTACATGAAATGTCCAGAATAGGCAAATCCTTGGAGATAGACAGTAGAATAGTGGTTGACAGGGGCTGGGAGAGGGAGGAAATGGGGAGTTGGTGCTAATGGGTAGGGGGGCTATGAAAACATTCTAGAGTTAGATGGTAGTGATGGCTGAACAACTCTGAATATACTAAAAGCCACTAAATTCTACACTTTAAAAAGATTGATTTTATGTTATGTTTTATGTTTGTTCCATAAAACTGTTATTTAAAAAGAGAAAGAGAAAAAAAGAATGAAGTGAGCCTGTTGCCTGAAGGATAACAACTGTCATTACTTGTTGCTAATGAAAAAAAAACTCGAGCTTTCAATTAAAAATTAGTATTTTGGAAAACTTGTATCCACCACCGGTAGCTTGACAGCTCCCCAAATCTTGAAAGACTTTTCCTATGATATTGGTGGTGATATTAATGACTGTGGATTTTTTTCAATTATCACTTGGATCTGTTATTTGACAAAATCTCTTCTTTCCAGAAGATGTGGGTTCACTCTTCCTTTTCATGGGTTTCAGTAAGCAAAATATCAAGAGGAAATGTCTTGCTTTTACTGAAAGGACTCTTACTGCGAGTGGTGTAATCAAGCAGAGAGGCACCCCAGCTCCTGCAGGGACCACATATGAATGTGGAATATAAGAAACAGTGCAGAGGATCATAGGGGAAGGGAGGGAAAACTGAATGGGAAGAAATCAGAGAGGTAGAGAAACCAAGAGAGACTCTTAACTATAAGAAACAAACTGAAGGTTGCTGGAGGGGAGGTGGGTGGGGGGATGGGGTAATTGGGTGATGGGCATTAAGGAAGGCACATGATGTGATGAGCACTGGATGTTATATGCAACTGATGAATTGCTGAACACTACATCTGAAACTAATGATGTACTATGTGTTGGCTAATAGAATTTAAATTTTAAAATAATTACTGGATTTTTTCTATTGGATAATGAAATATGTCAATATTTTGAAGATTGGAATAACTCTGTGAACCAATGCATGACATTACCAGATCATGCTTGAGTGAAAGATCCATGCCAAGTCAGACCAATGGATTTTAAAGTAACTGAGTTCAAGAAGTTTATCTATATGATTTTAGATTCCACATTTCTACTAATCTTTAAGAAACTTCTTGTAAAATTTTGGTGTAATACCAAAGAAGAATATCCAAAATAATCTCCTGTGAAGACTATTAAAATACTTCTCTTTTTCCAGTTACAGATCTGTGTTAAGCTGTATTTTCTTCATATGCTTCAACCAAAACAACATAACACAATGGATTGAATCTAGAAGCAGACATGAGAATCCAGATATCATCTATTTAGCCTAAAGACATTTGCTAAAATGTAAAACAATGATGTATTTCTCACTGAATTTTTAAAGTATACTTTAAAAAAATTTTTAATAAAAAATGAGTTTATTGAATTTATTTTTAGTGAATTAATAATTAAATTTTTTTTTTTTTAAACTCAGTATCTACACTATACTCCATACCTATCAAATCAAATCCTTTGGAGGTGGGACCTAAATATTTTTATAAACTTTCCCAGATGATTTCAATGTGTAGCCAAGTTTAGAACTAGTGCCCTAGTGCCCTGGAGCAATGTTCTCAAGTTTTGGTGTTTATCAGCATCACCTGGGGAACTTGGTAAGACTATGAGGTGTAGGCTTCATGCTACTTCAGTAAGCCTGGACCACTATATTTTTTATTAGTTCTCCAGATGAGCTGATACACACCAAGAGTGAAGAACCACTATCTTATCCAGGTCAAGAGTATTAGGCCCCTTTCTTAACTCTATTTGGATCCTGGATCTGTTACTTGACAAAATCTCTTCTTTCCAGAAGATGTGCGTTCACTCTTCCCTTTCATGGGTTTCAGTAAACAAAATATCAAGAGGAAATGTCTTGTTTTTACTGAAAGGACTCTTACTGCAAGTGGTGGAATCAAGCAGAGAGGCACCCCAGCTCCTGCAGGGACCACTGCCTGTCCTGTCTCCCTGAGGAGCCTCCCTTCTGGTCTGTGCTGCACAGTCATGGAGGGTCTATCACCTAGTCTAGGGGCAACAGCTACTAAACCACCTCAGAGGATGGTTCTCTGATGGTTAGGTGACAAATGGATCTACCACTCCTGTCTCCAGAATACAAGTTTCTCTATTGGGTTGGTTTTATAGTATCTTCAGAATTTGGAGGCTGCCACTCAGGATTTCTCCTGGTCAGTCAAAACTAGTGAGACCTTTGCTCATCCAAATGTTAGTAAGCCGGGGATGGGGAGTCAGTTATCAGCTGGACTTCAGGTGGCAGGGAGGGGCTGGACCTGGATGCAGATGTCTGTGCCCTCGTTGGTGTTACACTGGCACAGTAATGGAGAGCAAGTTATCACCTGAGAGACAGCAAGTTTACAGAGGGTAACAAACATGACCTCCCAGGCCCCCATGTTGATTAACTTTCTCTCCTTCCATGGATTTGTCAAAAACTGAGCAGAGCTTGTATTTTCTGTATAAATTTAGGTTGCTTAGAGTGTGAGGGAGAAAGGACTTCTAGAAACCAGCCAAGTGTTTAGCAGATTACAGAACAGTTTCAGGTTCTCCACTCCCTTCCCAGATAGATTTGTGTTCCTAAGGTTAGAAGTGTAGGAAGCTTATGGACTGAAATATTGCCTACTATACAAAGACATCTGTATAATACAGGAGAGGACAGACTTCTCTGTCAGTCCTCAACCTCTTCAACCTGCCCCTGGAAGAACAGAACAGGCATGTAGTCCTCCTGTTTGAGCTTTTTTGGCAGAATCTACGTGAAAATATTCAGTGTCACTGAATTTTGCTTGAGTATCTCTTTGCCTAACACTGATTGACCCTAAAGACACAACAATTACAGAAGGACAAATATTCACACTGCAACTCATTTGGATAGAGAAATTGCATTTAGGCTATTAATTAACCTGGTATTTCACCCAAGGAACTAACGTCTGGTTATCTGGGGAAAAAATAACATTAAATCGCCTTTAAAGCTTCTTCCAGTAGGATAAAATGGATTAGGTAAGAATATTTGACTGGCCTGAGTGTTGTCTACATTACCCAGGATCCTAAGGAATCATGAAGACCAGACACCAGTAATGAGCTGTACCTTTTATAACATCACACCATATTGTGCTTGTTTGTTTATAGATGTAAAGGGAGTAATATTTGTAAAAATGTAATGTGATTTTTCTTTTCAGTCTACCCCATATAGGACTTTAACCCCAGTTTACCCTAGGAATCCATTTATCTGTGAGGATATTAGAATTCCTTTCAAGAGTAGTACAAAAAAAAAAGAATAAGCTGTTTGTTATTCAGAAGGAGGATCATGCAGAAGAAAAACAGAGTCATAGACTATTGTCTTGAAAGAAGATTTCCCAAATTCTGTCATCTTTGCCTTTTATTTATAAAAGGTTGATCCCCAAGGCTCCCAACTCCTAGTGCTTTGCTGTAAGGCAGGGAAAGCATCACTTCTGACTAGGAGAACCTGGTATGCTCTGTGGTGGTGTTTCTCACCTGGAGGGATTTTGCCCCCAGAGGAGACTGGGTAGTATCTGCACACATTTTGGTTGTCATAACTAAGGGGGTTGTGCTACCAGCATCTAGTGCATAGAGACCAGGGATGCTGTTCAACATCCTACAATACTCAGGCAGCCCCTGCCACACAGACTTTTCTGGCTCAAAAGAGTAATAGTGTTGAGACAGGTTGAGATCCTGCTCTAGGATAAATGTGCTCAAAGTGTGGTCCTCAGACCAGCAATATTAGCATCACCTGGGAACTTGGTAGAAATGCAAATCCTTGGGCCCCACCCCAGATCTACTGAACTAGAAATTCTGGGAATGGAGCCCAGCAATCAGTGTTTTAACAAGCCCTCCAGGTGATGCCCACACTAAGGCTTATGCTCTATGGAAGTCAGAGGCTATGACACAGGACCACTGATCCTTTCCAGCTCTGGGTGATGGTGGGTGGGGAAACAAGAGATAGAGAAAGAAACCCTGCTGCCAGCTTGCTCTTTCCTCCTTGGCAGGTTTGGACTGAGAGACATGGCGGTGGAGTGGAAAGTGACGGAAGCACCAAGAAGGGAGATCATGCTCTCCGACCTCCTTGGGCTGTGGAAGTCCTGGTCCACATGGGTGCTGCTGGTCCCCCGGCATTTGCAGGTGCAAAGAGTGGACTCAGGATCTTGATTCCGGGGGGAATGCAGCCTCTTGTACAACTGGCCTGAAGTCTGGCTGTGATTCCTTTTGGTCTTGGCTTACAAGTCTCAACAGCTCCTGATGCAGTGTCAACTCACCTTCATGGTGACCCACTCTCCCAAGTTTCCAAGAAGCCTGTCAGCTAACCCCAGGGCCAGTTTATACCATGCTGAAATTTGCAGCAGCTTTAGAAAGTGAAATTCCACAGATCTCCCCTCTGCCTGTCCAGGCAGTTGATGCATCTCCGACACTTAAATGGCTCCCTGTGTTTTCATTATGGCTCAGAAGGTTTGCAGTGCCCAGAGGACAGGGAGTACAACATGGACTCAAGAAGAGCGGCATATCAGGTACCAAAGGTGGTAGCTAGAATGTGCATAAAGAATAATAAGGTGGTAAGGAGGCACCAGACCAGGCACTTGGTGTCATGAGTTTCAAAGAAGCAGGGCTTTCCCCTGACTATGGAAAAGCTAGTGGTATAGTATGGAACAAGCACTAAAGGGTAAAAGGAAAATACTTTTTTTTTAATACATGGAAAACACAAAGTGTATATGAACTGCATTAATGTTTACATTTTATTTGATTTCTTCAAAAGATCACTTTTGCTTCAAATTTACATTTGTGGGGTCAAGTATTCTGAGCATCTCATTTTTTCAGCATTTTATTTGGTGGTCAAACAGCCTTTATTGTAGCAATATGACAAGGGGTATGCACTAAGTAGGTCTATTTTGTTATGAGCATCAGAAAAAGGTTAGCTAACCTATGCCAAAAGAGGAATGTACTAGCAAATTAGGAAGAGGATGGTAGACTCAAAGCAGGGATTGGGTAAGTGGAGAAGCCAGGGTAGTTCCAGCAACATGTCAGGATGAGTAGGTTACTCACAGCCCCACTGTTGAAGTGACTCATCTCAATCAATTTCCTATGTTATGTCATAATACTCAAGATTCAGTATCCTGGAAAAGAAAGTCTGATTGGTCTACTGTACACACCATATGCCCACTCCTGGCAGAGAAGGACAGTTGCAGGTGGGAAGAAAGGGCAGCATGATTATCAGTCCCACAAAGACTCTAATGAAGGGGACAAGGGTGATTCTCCAAAAGAACATCTGGATCCTGCTACCAACATAAGGATCAGGGAGGCTGGGCACACAGACACCAGTCATCCACTATGGGCAGGCACAGACTCTGCAACCTTCTCATCTGTGGTAACTGGGCCATGCAGTCCCTCCCTTTGGCAACCTGAGAAACGGTACTAGGAAAAGTGCCTTGGAATGATGAAACATGGCAGCACAAGAGAGAGCAGTACAAAGCATATTTCAGAAAAGGCAAGAGGTGCAAAATGTTGGGACCTTGGTTTACAATACGGGAGGGATCCAGAGAGCATAGTGGAAACATCTGGAAGGAAGGGAGGCCCAGGGAGTTGGGTTAAGGCTGTTAGAGGAGTGAGCTAGTCAGGTCACTTGGAAATGGGAGGTGATGAGTAGAGCTGTGCCAGGTATAAGAGAAAACCTGGCTGTTGTGTAAAGGCAGTGAGGAAGTGCTCAGGTTCCTGGGAGATAGTAGCTCAGCTAGAAAGACTGAGAGGCTGCAAATTTACCCTCCAGAATACCGTACCTAGATGAGATATGTTTGTGAAGTGGATCTCCAGGCCAGGTTTAAATTCCTCAAACACAATGATCTGTAAAGAAGGAGGTTGGGTGGCCATGAGATTCAAGTTCTGACTCTTTGCAAAGCAAAGGCCAAAGGAAGTGGACTGGGATGAGGGAGGTGTAGGGGGAGCTTACCTCATTTGATCCAGGATGAAGCCAGGGTCCTGGAAGGTAGAGGGTCTCCTGGGGACCTATATTCCAGTAGCGTCCCAGATTTCGTCCATTGATGAATATTACACCTTTTGTCCAGCCCTGAAAAAGATTGGAATGAAGGATTCAAGACCTGAGTTCTAGATGTAATGACACTAGGGTGAAGACACACACACACACCCCATAAACGCACCTGATCATAGTCATAGTCACACCTAGATGGAATGGATTACCACACATGGCCTTAAATGGAAGGTTACCTGGACAGGTCTATGTTATTGCCCCTGGCCCAGGGTTGGCTCAACACCCAGGCCTCAAGAAGGAAGGTACTGATTTCTAACTCATCTGTGCCAAGTCAGGGAAGGGTCTTTCCATTGACTATCAGGCATTCACCAAAACACGCTGGGCCCAAAGCATAGTTTGAGTTGTAGAATTTTGGGATGGCCGTACATGTACATTAAAATCTCAACATCCCCACTACAGACTGGACGTGTGTCTTAAAGGGGTTGAGGGTCTCAATGTCTTGGATTACGTCTGGGGACAAGTGGATCACACTCACTAAATTCTTCATGCACTAGATTCTACATCTGTCCCCACTAGGACATACTACTTATGTCTTTGTTGCATTTGTTAAGCTTCCACCCCTCACCCTTGTTAACACCAGGGAAGGGACAGCCTCCAGATAGCTGTGGAGTGGCTGATGTCCCAGGGAGCTTACATTTCCTTTCACAGGACAGGGCCCATGTACCAAGGAGATTTTTCCCAAATATCCTTTTGGGATGGGGGCTGGCAGGATAAGCAGGGGAGAAATATCACTAACCTCCATTTTTATGAAGGTATCTCTGGGGTAATTACCCATTCTCAGGATACCAAGGAAGAAGGCAGGGCCCCGATGTTTGAATGAGGCTGGTTTCCAGATGTTAGGAAGGTCCCTAAAAGGGAATCAAACACTAATGGAAAGGTCATGCCCTTCTTTGTGTGTCAGTTGTGAATTTTGAGGTAAGTCTCCTTTTTGCCCATGCCTGACATTCGTCTTATAGCACAAGCACATGCCTCTAAGGGGCATAATGCAGAAAAAAACAAAAAATCAGCAGACCAGGAGTTGGGTGAATGAGGGGAGGGTCACCGCTCTGCCCCAGACAACTATGAAACTTGGGGTCATTTCCTCCAGCACTGTGGATCTCACCTCTCATCTGAAAACTAAGGAGGTTGGTCTGGATGGTCTCTGAGCTTCTTTCCATCTCTAAATCAGAACCATCTTTGATCAGTCACCTTGAGTCAATGGTCTGGCACCCACCTTTGTAGAAACTGAGTTTTCAGATCCAGGCTATAGATTTTAAATTTTCTTAAAGGAAAATTGTTCAGATAGATATCCCCAATTAGACCTGTAAAAGAGGGAATAAAAGGAACATGAAGAAGGCAAGCAGGGATGTGAACACAGAGATGTAAACAGGCTATGGCCAAGACTCCCCCTGAAGGAGGATGTTTTCCTGTCCATATCAGATGGAAGGTTTCTGCAAAATCTTACAAAAATTCTTCCTTCTGTTATACATGTACACTTCTTAGACTGTGCCTGTATGTCCCACATTAACAGTGCAAAAGTCACAGCACATCCTGCCAGGTCTGGCCAGAATAGCAGTTCAGGCTACCTTTAACTCTCAAGGTAGGTCAAAGCACTTGGAGCAGGGGAAGGAAGGTGTGTGTGACTCTGTGCCCAGGAGCCCAGGGGGAGGTGAGGACACAGGCACTAAGCTCCAGAGAAGGGAAAATAAAAGTTCCCAGGGAGGGATACTAACCATCTTTTTCTATAGCTTTCTTCAAAAACATCCTGGAAGAGGAAAGGCAGTGCTCTGGCTTGGTCATTAGAGAATACACTTGAGGGAAGGCACCATCATCCTTTCCCATCAAAGCAAGACTTCCTCATAGTTTCTACACATGGCTATTTCGTTGGCCAAAAGATCCTGCTGTCCACCAAACCATACACCTGGCCATGACTGTCCTCAGCCTAGGATAAGAGCAACAGGAATTTGGTGTCTCAAGGTCTCAAACTTCTTCACCCTTGGAAGGAAGGAGGCCTACCTTTTCTCTCCTTATTAATATCCTGCCCATAGGCAAGGCGGCCTTGATTCTCCACCAGGATCCTCAGTGTTGGGTTATCCTTGTAGACCTGTCCAAGATAGACGAGCCAGAGTCAGTACCACTCAGGGAACTTTTCTGTAGACCTCTTAAGTCTCCTCTGAAACTCAGATAATGTTGTAAAAGCAGGGTAACTGACATACAGCAGGCTTCAGAAGCCTGCAGATGTCCAGCTCTGGGCCAAGTAAACCCTTGGGCTCCTGCTCTTCCTACTCACCCACCCTCACTCCCACCCCCATACTGGGCCTTTCAGAAAACAGTCACTCGAACATTTCAAAAGAGATTATTGAGGCAGGTGACAAACCTAGAGTTTTTTGAGCAGCAAATATCCAACATGTTGAAGTTCTACTCACCCAAAGCATATATACCTATACTTTAGAAATACATACAGCTCTCCTGCATCCATGTTGGGCTCTTATGCAAGGAACATTCCAAAGGACAGTGGAGGAGAAAATAAGCTATCACAGGGCAAGGCCACGCTTACAATTAAGCCTGGGTGCTTACGTATTAGTCCATCAACACTGGATTACATACCATTTTCCTGGGAATAGTCAGCTGATGAGTGGAATGGTCCAGGACCCCTAAAAACTCCTCATCCAAAAACACCTGCCAAAGAAAGAGGAGAGCACCATTAGGTCATCATAAGGAAAGGGATAAAATGGTCCTTGGGAAAGCAAAGAAAAGGCAAGTTCTAGGGGAATGATTAACTGTCTCCTAGAATATTACAAGCCGACTATGAATCCACAAAAATACAACATATTCAAAGCAGTACAGTCATGAAATGTATAAGGCAAAGTCCAGAGAAGGATGTCCTGATACCAAATCTGGGTCTGGCTGTACTATAGGGCAAGGAGGGAAAGAATAAAATTTAAAGGACCTGCAGGGAATGAGGGAAAAAGGAAGGTAGAGAATGAATGGATATTGTGAAAGAAGTAATGGCCACGGGGAAGATGGGGCTCCAGGTGCAGGAGGCATCTCCCTGCCTGGCTGGCATGGCTTCACTCCCATAATGGATCCAGTCTTCCAGGTCTCCCCTGACCCTTATCAGAGGCTGCTGCCACCACTATTTCTCATTTTAAGAATGACCTGGACATAAATCCTTTCCTTTTCTGTTACCTATTCTATTGCTTTAGGCTCAGATGAAGTCACCCAGAAGAACCTGCTCTAACCACGCAGGACCACAGAAGGATACATAATTTGCCCCTTAGATTATTTGAGTCGGGTCATAATTTTCAAATGAAATTTGACCAGGAAACTATAAAAATTAAAATCCACAAATACTAAAAACACAAATATTAATACTATACAAAACACAGAATTCATATTTTAAGCTATTTAGAGTCTAATCACAAGGCTTATATACTCTATAACCACTTGTTGAACACCTACTGAATGGCTTGGGCAAGGGGTCACCAAGCTTAAAACACAACCCCAGCCACTGAGGAACTCAGAGAGTGACACAAAGAAATTATTAGGATACTCCACAATAGCTAATATGGAACTGTGACCAGAATGCCATGGAAGCACAGCGAAGGGAGTGACAAGTCCTGATCCACAGTCAAGTCCAGGTTATTTGGTGAACATGATGACAGGTGACTGGGAAAATCAATGGAAGACTGTAGACAGGGGAAATGGCACTCTGAGAATTTTACTTTGGGAAGGAAACTGGTGGCACTGTGAGGAAGGGATTTGGCAAGTAGGAGAGGAAAGGTGAGCTATCTGAAAAAGGAAGATCGGTTATGAGGCTCTAACAGTAATAGAGGGAAGATACAAAGGCACTTCTAAGGCCATGGAGGCATGGATTTTGAGAGAAGACCCACTGAGTAATACTGTAAGCCAGCATGTGCCCACTGAGAATAAGGTGTGAAGAGAAGATGAGGGGAGCAGCATTTTCAGGTGGGGGTGCTGCAAGTCCATGAATGGATGTGAGGAGTACAGGATGAGGTTTATTTTGGAAGGTAATGAATTTGGTTTTGGACATGATGAGTGTAAGAAGCCAGTGGAACATATGTCTAAGTGAAGAAAAATGTTCAGCAAACAAGGAATCTGGGTCTGCAGCTCAGGAAAAGAAGGGGAGGGTTGGAGTCACCATCAGGAGTGCCTGAAACTTGGGGAGAAGATGACACAGACAGCATAGAGAGGGCTCTTAGCAAGAGAATGTCACCAAGATCTAAGGAAACTCTGCCAGCTCTTAACTTGGAGTGAGATGATGAAGCCTTTACCCTCAGCTCTGCTGCTTTCAAGTCAAATGTCCTCTGAAAGTCATTTAACTTCTCTGAGGTTTTCTCATTTGTAATAAATATCTTAGATGAATGTTCTGAGAATTGAATGAGAGCAGCGCATTGTAATGTAGGGATTGCTGTGCAGCGCATTGTAATGTAGGAATTGCTGTGCAGTAAGTAGAGGGACTTCTGAAGCTCCTCCCAAGTCTCCTTTAAAGAACTCCATCAACTCCCATAACGGTTCAATGAATACCACCCTCCCTGGGAACTACTATAAACCTTGGACCTACGACAACAGTGGCTTACATATCAAATATTTCCCTGAAGGGACAAAGGTTAAGAAACAGCAATGATTTTTTGAAGGTGAAAAAGATTTGACCATCATTTAGATATTCACCTCAGCAACACCACTGGGTTTTACTAGGAGAGAAGTGTCACTGGGACCCATCCACTGTCCCTTACCTGACCTCGATCTTGAACATGACCCTTCGTGGTGAGGAGGCCACTGGTGGTGACCACAGTCTCATAAAGTATGTATCCAGAGGACTGACCATTCCCCTGGTTCACGGACAGCTTCTCCATGCAGATTGGCTTGACAGAGCTGATGGGCTGTGGCAGAAAGAGGAACAAACCAGGCTAAATGTTCATGCTGGAGAGACAAATTTCAGAAACCCACAACCAAAGCCCACTTCTCCAAAGGAATTGCCCCAAGAGTCCTTTTTAGTTTTCCAAACCAACTTCATATTTCTCTGCATGTGCTAGACAGTAATGTATTCTTATTTTTCAGATGGAAAAGCTGAAATCAAGGAAAGGGAATGATCTGTTAACTTGCTCATCAATTCATGATAGAGCCTGGACTAGACTCCTGATTTTAGGAACTCCATGCCAGGTGTGCCAGATTCTGTCTATCCTTGGTCTTTTCTTCTTGTTCCTTCATACAGTAAGAGAAATCATCCTAGCCCACGGTCTGACCGTGGCTATTCATGAATCTGCCTATCTAACACTGAGCTAAAGCACTCGATGTCTGTTAACTCCCATGTCTGTTAGACTTCTCCTTCTGAAGATCCCTAAATGATTCCAATGTAGTATCTCCCAAACTATATTTACCACACTTCCCCATCCTACTCTTTTTCCTTTCCAAAGAGCAACACCAACTATCCAGTCAAAAAGGTAAAAAGCATGGACAATGTCTCTTTCTCAATATCCCCAATAAACCAGTCATCACCTCCTTTAGAGTCTGACTCTGAATATGTTTCACTAATCCTTCTTCACCCCCATTATCTAAGCTCAACTTCAGTAGATTTTTATTCATTTTCAGTGTTCTAGCATGGTTCCACTCTACTCCATCCCCCATACAGCTACCAAAGAAATCCTTCTGAAATGCAAAGCTGGTCATCTGATTCCCAAGCCATGCTTTAAAATAGCTTCCCACAACTTTCAGGGAAATGTTCAAATCTCTTAGCATAAAAACATGGCCTGAGGCACTGGATGGTTCAGTCGGTTAAGCATCTGCCTTTGGTTCAGGTCATGGTCCCAAGGTCCTGGGATTGAGCCCTGCAGCAGGCTCCCTGCTCAGTAGGGAGCCTGCTTCTCCCTGTACCCCTCCCCCACTCATGCTTGCTCTCTCTCTCTCAAATAAATAAGTAAAATTTTTAAAACACACACACACAGCCTTTCAGACTGCCTGTGTGGAGCCACACAGCCTGAAGCATTCTGGAGGACAAAGAAGATATCAAAAGCTACTGGACTCATGTCAAGAGGACGAGAGGACAGAGGGGCCAACTTAAAGGAGACAGGACAATTTGAATATCAAAAGGAATGACTGCAACGGGGTTGAAACATGTTACATGTGTTTAAAAAAAAGTGTGAGTTTTCAGGAGGATCTTGGGAAGACAGTGTCAGAAAAGGATTCTGACCTTACCTCCTCCCACAGACCCTTCAAGGCTACAACTGCACACTGTGCACCTCGCTCGGAAAATGACATGAAGACTGCCAAAACTGACGTTCCACAGCTAGAAACATAAAAGAAGGCCACATTGATAGGGGTGGGGGTGGCGGCAAGAGGCAATGAATTCAAACCCCCAGCACAGCAACTCACAAGCAGAAAGAAGATTCCAGGCCTGGAGGTCATCCCTGACGAGGGAGGGGATCAAACCCTATATCAGACACCCCTGGTCCTAGAGACTTGTACCAGGAAGAAGTGTGGCTTTGAAAATCAGCAGGGCCTAATTGCAGAAGAATCAAAGATCTATAGGAAACCAAGTGTCTACCGTTATAGAGCCAGAATGCTGTATCACTTGGTCCAAGACCCAGCACAGAGGCAGCAGTTTGAAAAGCATGTAGGTTATACATAAAGGAGATTTACTGTCTGGTTTTAGGACATGTGCCTGAGGGGCAGGGATCTGGAGGAGCTTTCCCCTGGAATGGAAGTGCTGGTAGGAGCCATTTTTCTTACCCTGCTATAGCCTAACTAGCCCAACTCTTGTGGAGCCATTTCTAACATTATCCATCTACCTTGCTAGCATGGCTTGATCCACGCTGGCATTCTCCTATGGACCAGCTCTGGCAGGCACCCACAGCTAGAGTCTAGAGACCAGAGTCTCCCCCCAGAGTAATAACTGCCCCCCCACACCTGCTGGGCAGCCCTGGCCTACACCAGTGCCCCTCCAAAGCAACTCCTGCACTGGGGAGGAGAGAGCCAGCCTTGCAATTAATCTATGACAAAAGAGGCAAGAATATACAATGGGGAAGAGTCTCTTCAATAAATAGTGTTGAGGAAACTGGACAGCTACATGGAAAAGAATGAAACTGGACCACTTTCTTATACCATACACAAAAATAAACTCAAACTATATTGGTTCAGTACCTAAATGTTGGACCCGAAATTATAACACTCCTAAAAGAAAACAGGCTGTAAATTCTTGGACATCAGCCTTAGCAATATTTCTCTGGATCTGTCTCCCCAGGCAAGGGAAGCAAAAGGAAAAATAAATGATTGGGACTATATCAAACTAAAATATAGAAAAGGAAACCCTCAAAAAAAATGAGAAGACAACCTACTGATTGGGAGAAGATACTTGCAAATGATATATCTGATAAGGGGTTAATACCCCAAATATATAAAGAACCTGCACAATCATCATCAAAACAAAATAATTCAATTGAAAAATAGGCAGAGGATCTAAACAGACATTTTTCTGAAGAAGAAATACAGATGGCCAATAGACAAATGAAAAGATGCTAAACTTCATTAATCACCAGGGAATTGCAAATGAAAACCACAATGAGATGTCACCTCACAGCAGGCAGAATGGCTAGTATCCAAAAGATAAGAAATAGCAAGTGTTGGTGAGGATGTGGTGAAAAAGGATCCCTCATGCACTGTTGGTGGGAATGTAATTTGGTGCAGCCAGTGTGGAAAACAGTATGGAGGTTCCTCAAAAAATAAAAAATAGAAATACCATATGACCCAATAATTCCACCACTGGGTATTTACCTGCAGGAAATAAAAACACTACTTTGAAAAGATATATGTGCCCCTAAGGTACTGTAACATTATTTATAATAGTTAAGATATGGAAGCAACATAAGTGTTCACTGATAGATGAATGACTAAAGAAGATGTGGTATATATATATAATGGACTATTACTCAGCCATAAAAAGAATAAAATCTTGTCATTCACAACAACATGGATGGACCTAGAGAGTATTATGCTAAGTGAAATAAGTCAGACAGAGAAAGACAAATACCATGTTATTTCACTTATATATGAAATCTGAAAAACAAAGCAAACAAACAGAAACAGACTCATAAATACAAAGAACAAATTGGTGGTTACCAGATGGCAGGGGGTGGAGGGGCTGAGGAAAATAGATGAAGGGCATTAAGAGGTACAAAATTCCAAGTATAAAATAAATAAATCACAGGGATGAAAAGTACAACATAGGGAATGTAGTCAGCAATACTGTAATAACTTTGTATGGTGACAGACAGTAACTATGCTTAGTGTGCCGAGCATTTTGTAATGTATATAATTTTCAAATCAGTATCTTGTACACCTGAAACTTATATAATATTATATGTCAACTATACTTCAACTGAAAATAAAAATTTTAAAAATCATGAGTTTATAATCAAATAAAGACAACAACAACAAAATAACTCATTGGCCACCTTTGCAAGATATCCAGGAATAAATTCATTATCTGATAAAAGAAAATACTTGAAATTTTGTCCTAACTTTTCTTTACAAACTGTACATTAAGGTGACAAGACAACAGAAAAGGAAAGTTCTGCGTAGAAGAACTTCAAGTGTATAAATGAAGAAGGAATGACTGAATAAGAATGATACTATTTTAAAAGCCTTAATGAAATACTGGATATAGGTAATAATTGTCAATGACTGCTAAAACCATTAGGTAAAAGATTGATGGGAAAATTGATAATGGATAGACTGGGCTAACTACTCCTGAACCCACTGATAAATTATGAAAACAGAAATGACCAGCCATTATGTGCCTGAGATATAATGCATAAAAAAATATAACAGCACCACCTATGAAATATACTTGCAAACAATTTTTTTAAAAAGCACCCAACTTAAAGCCCATCAAGCATCTAGATCAGTTTACTGAAAATGTGGGGAGTATAAAGACATATTCCCAGATACATGGGGATCTAATTAGCAAAGCCCAGAATGTAGGGGATTCTATAGTACAAATAATCCTGCTTCTTCAACAAATAAATGTAATAAAAAGGAAAGAAATCTTTAGATTAAAAGAGATTTAAGAGACATATCAACTAAATGCAATGTGTGACTAACCTGATTTGGATCTTGGTATTAACAAATCAGTGCTAAAAATGTTATGAGACAGGTGAGAAAATCTGAACACTGGATATTTTATGATTTTCAGCAGTGGGGTGCCACAGCCAGTCTGTACCAGCTCATGAGTGCCAACTGTGCACATCTCTACCCAACCCTGTATTTGGTCTCTGTACGCGGTGTTGTCATGCCAGAGCCTTGGAATTAGCCATAGTGGGAGTACTTATACCGCAGGAATCGGCAAACACTACTAATCAGAGTTTTTTCTTCTAGAGAGTCTGTTACTAAATATTTCCCAGGAAATCACTGACTTTAAAGGATTATTAGTAGTAGTACTATCATCATCATCATCATCATCATCAAGGTCGATAATGATTTTGTAGTTGCATTTTTAAAAGAGTTCTTATCGTTTCAGATACATATTAAACTATTTATAGCTAAAATTGTATGATGTCTGGGATCTGCTTTAAAATAATCTTAAAAAGAGTAGAGGAAGAGAAGGTAGGGGTATAAATGAAACAGTATTAGTCATATATTAATAAAGTTGAGGCTGCATGTTGAGCACATAGGGGTTCACTACTTTTCTCTGTGCCATTTGTTCATGTCTTCAAAATTCCGTAAGAAAACATTTAAAACAAAACCACAAAGGCCCTCTGACATGTGGTGTCTGGTGCCTTACTTGGCACTCCCTCACAAACACTTTTCATTGCAGTCTTATTTGCAGTTCCCTAAACATGCATTTCCTTCCTTGTCTTTACAAATGGTTTTCACTATGTCTCAAATTCCTTTCCCTCCCCCATCCTACTCCACTGTTCATCTCATTAAGCTCTATTCATCCACTGGATCTCAAAATCACCTCAACTGGGATATAATATTGGATCCTGTGACTGTCCAGCATGCTGACCATATCTCTAAATAATAACACAGTAGCTAGCACTTACATGTGTCAGTTTCAAATATTAGGGGCTTAATCCACACCACAATCCTATGAGGTAAATACAATTATTAGCTTCATTTTCCAGATAAGGAAACTTACAATGAAGTTAAATGACTGCCCCAGGGTAAATATTGGAGCAAAGATTCAAACCCAGTCTTGACTCCAGAACTTAATCTCTTTAGCACAACAGTATGTTCCCTTGACAATGCCGGGCTGCCTTCATTTCTTTACCATGGAACCTACGGCCCCCTAATCTCTACTCACCTCTCCTCCCTGTTAGACTAGAAGATCCCCCCAAACAACACCTTGATAATACAGCTCCCCAAACATTAATGTTTACTAAGTATTGTGTAAATACGCAGGATTTCCTCTATACCAGTGGTTTTCAAACTATGTTCCTTCAAACCCTACATGTAAGTCAGAAGTGGCACATGGGCCATCCGAATACGTGCCACCCTAGAGAAAGGATGACTGACCCTTAGGATGCAAGTACAGAGCCTCAGAACCACCACCCCGATCAAGCAGTGCATGCTTTATGTACTGAACATGTGAAGTGAGTTTGAAGAAAGAGTCCCTCTACTAAACTAAAAGTTTAAAAATCATTGCCCTAGATCTAGCCAGTGTGCCTTCATTCTAACCATCTTCAGAAGGCAAGGGATCTCTTTTTGCTATGCTACTGAAAGGAAATTTTCCCAGTATCCTAGAATATTTACACTGTTTCTTTATATTTAAATTTTCTGAATATTCCTGAATTCTTATTCTAGATTTCTTATTCTAAATTGTAAAACCTATGGAATGGGAGAAGATATTTGCAAATGTCTTATCAGATAAAGGGCTAATATCCAAAATCTATAAAGAACTTATCAAACTCAACACCCAAAGAACAAATAATCCAATCAAGAAATGGACAGAAAACATGAACAGACATTTCTCCAAAGAAGACATACAAATGGCTAAAAGACATATGAAAAAATGCTCAACATCACTTGGCATCATGGAAATACAAATCAAAACCACAATAAGATACCACCTCACACCAGTTAGAATGGCTAAAATTAACAAGTCAGGAAACAGATATTGGCAAGGGTGTGGAGAAAGGGGAATGCTCTTACACTGTTGGTGTGAATGCAAACCGGTGCAACCACTCTGGAGCACATGCACCCCAATATTTATAGCAGCAATGTCCACAATAGCCAAACTACGGAAAGAGCCCAGATGTCCATCGACAGATGAATGGATAAAGAAGAGGTGATACACACACACACACACACACACACACACACACACACAGAAATATTACTCACCCATCAAAAAGAATGAAATCTTGCCTTTTGCAACGACATGGTTGGAACTAGAGGGTATCATACTAAGCAAAATAAGTCAGTCAGAGAAAGACAAATATCATATGATTTTACTCGTATGTGGAATTTAAGAAACAAAACAGATGAACATAGAGGAAGGGAAAGAAAAATAAGATGAAAATTGAGAGAGAGGCAAATCATCAGAGATGTCAAACTCTAGGAAACAAACAAAGGGTTGCTGGAGGGGAGAGGGATGGGGGAGAAGGGATAATTGGGTGACGGGCATTAAGGAGGGCACTTGATGTAATGAGCACTGGGTGTTATATGCAACTGATGAATCACTAAATTCTACTTCTGAAACTAACAACAACAATAACAACAGAAAACCCCAAAACAAAAAACAAAACAAAACCCTGAAAGTAATCACTAGTTAGCATTGAATAAAGTAAATGCTGCTTCTAAAACACAGAAATTAAAGGAAAGAAAGAAAATACAGTTCATTCACCAAAAGAAGGAAGCATTGTGCAAACCTTGATTAAAATGATGAAACAATGTTTAAGTCAGATATAATTCTGGATCATTAATAGGGTAATTTCTCTGTTGAAAGATAAAACGCAGATTGTACCCAGAACCAAATTCCAACTATGTGCTACTTTTAAAAGTTACACCTAAAATAAATGACACTAAAACAAACAAACAAAAAATTAGGAGAAGGAATTAAAAGAAGTAAGAATTGCTTTTGGCTCCCCAATAATTTACTCCCTATTCTTTGAGCTAAGCCTTGCACTCCTCGCTCTTCTGTCCAAAGGCTATCCCATGCTTTTACATCCAGGAAATGCTTACCTCCTCCAAGTAGGGCATGACATCCCATAGTGACATGTAGTATGCTGTTACCACCAACTTATATATAGCCATAGGTATAGTATCTCGGTGGGGAGGCTTGGGAATCCCTGCAATGAAAAACAGGAGATTGGCCATTCCGAGATCCTCCTCCAACCCCATTCAAGGGACCACCCAAAACCACCAAGAATGAAGGTCTCAGTCAGTCACAGGACATGCTTTCCCAGTTCCAGGAAGAATCATAAGGTAGGCAATAAAGGAGTGGGATTCCTTTCATATCTATAGGCTCTGAGGCAGGATGCCCTGCTGTCTGGGGAAAGGAGGTGGTACATCAATCCCACTGCTGGACCAGTAGTTCTCAACCCTGGTGGCTCATTAGAATCTCTTAAAGTCCAATGGGAAAATACATATGCTCAGATTCTGCCCCTTCCTCCCCATTTCAACTAAGACATACTTTTCTAACAGCTCTGGGATGGGCCTGGCACCTCTGGCTTTTACAAGTTCTGCAGAGGATTCCAATGCACAGCCAAGACTAAGCAACATGGCCCTAGATGCTGAGAACCTAGAGGGTGGGCCCTGTATTTTGTACATATTTGAATCCCCAGTGCCTAATGATAAAATAAACTGGAACAAACTGGGTATCTCCCAAAAAGTACATCTTTATCTACTCCCTCAATCCCCTCTTCACAGGACAGAGACCATTTGAGAGGCTGAGTTATTATTCAGATTGAGATTGTTGCTAGGTACCCAAAGAAGAGCTAAAAAACTCTTGATATGCAAGGTACTCAGTTGTATGTTCTCCGTTCTCTGTCAGGAGTGCCCCATAATCTGAAAAATATAAAGAAATTTGTCACTTTCCCCAAGAAAGCTCCAGCTTCAGCAAAGAAAGGCATGAGAGCTTAATACTGAGCAAAAAGATCCTTAATACAGAAGCTTTGAAAGGAAAAATTTTTGGCATTAGATAAGAAAATACCACATCCCAATTAGTCCAAACCAGGAGACATCTGCCATACTTTGCAGGGCTTTCAAATGAAGGCAAATAACACCAATCCCTGGATATCTAATAAGTCCTGACTGAGAGCCCAAGGCTATTCCAATCCAGTGGTTTCTACTTTCTATTCAATTTCTTTTTTTTTTATTATGTTAAGTTAGCCACCATACAGTACATCATTAGTTTTTGATGTAGTGTTCCATGATTCATTGTTCACGTATAACACCCAGTGGTTCATCACAACACATGCCATCCTTAATACCCATCACCCGACTACCCCCTCCCCCAACCCCCTCCCCTCTGAAACCCTCAGTTTGTTTCCCAGAGTCCATAGTTAAATTCCTTTCTTTCACCCTTGACTTTTCACCTTGTCTCTCAGTGTCATTAACCAATGCCCTAGTGTTATCAAGAGATCCAAAGTAACTGTTTTGCAGAACTTCTAAGAATAAGGGTCTGCACAGTGGATAGATAAGATTAAACTACCAAGGCCTCTGCCTGCAAAGTCCCAGACAGTCTAGATTCTAGTGCTGGATAAATTCTAGTACTGTCAAGAGGAATAAACATCAAACCTTCAATCCTCAGCATTTGTTAAAGGCAAAACAGATGAACCGTCCCAGAGATTGTTCCATGAGACCCACTCTAGAAAGCTCCAGGCTCAAATGGTGGGGTGGTCTAGGTTGGAGACAACTCTAAGGGACAATTACTTGCCATAGCTTGTGATCATAGAGAGGTAATGGTCCAAAGATGCAGATCCACCCATGAAGCCGAAGTTGGTGCCACCATGGAACATGTAGAAGTTGAGGGAGAAACTAGCGTTGAACATTTCACGCACGTCTCTCATTAACACTGCACATAGGTAGGAAGAAAAGAGAGGGAGAAAATAAAGTTTGAGAGAATTAATAATAGCCATTTGTGGGATGTTCAAACTGCATGTATTGAACATTTGTTTATGCATCTTAGTCTTAGGTAAATAGATGTCCAGCTCAGTGTTTCTGGAGCACTTAGTAACTTTTCAATAAATTCTTAGTAACTTCTTTAGTAACCTAAAATCGTGGTACCAGGAACATTTACCTTCAAACCACATTTTAATGATCTTCATCAACTCTCCTGGAAGGATGTGGCAGATAATCTGGGAGCAGAGAACACTACTTCCACCCAACACACTTTCATTGAATTGCCCCATCTGTTAGAACAACTCACTCTAATTGCTTTAATAGTCTCAACAAAATATACTCAGAGTGGAAACACTGCTAAAATTTCAATTTCAATTGCAATCACCTCTGGGGTGCTTATTCAGTTTTGTCCCTTAAATCTAGTACTCTAAGTACTCTAACTGGCACGGGAAAAGAAAAAAAAAAACAGGCCAGTGCCATTTCTGTCATCTATTCTCCTGAGAAAGGATCTAAGAAGTACTCACAATGTGAATCCACAGAATGGGGGGAAGTGCCCCATCCGTCCAAAGAGCTTGCTGTATACACCATCATCAGTATGGGGCTACGACCCTGAGAAAAATGAAGTGTCAATTTAGTAAAGTTTGGTACAGTTTAGAAGCTCTGAATTGCTTAGGAGGAAACTGTGAAGTCTAGTTCTCACAAACCCCCTTACGATTCAGAGCATCCCCTCACTGCTCACAAACCCTGAGTTCTACTCTCCATCCTCAGATAATTTCCCTGGTCTTGTTATTCCTCTTGGGGTTTCAATGGACTTCTCCCTCAGGGTTTGGTAAAATCAACTGTTATTGCCACATTTTCCTTCCTGGAACAATAGAATCTCTTCATTCCCTTCAGTGATCAGATTAGAAGTCTAGTAAAGAAGCGCCTGGCTCAGGGGAAGCATTAAAAATATTCAACAAATGAATGCTAAAAATGTTGAATCCCATTAAATAAGAATCCCTGAATCTCAGAATTGTATTTTGTTTTTATTCAAGTATAATTAACATACAGTGTTCTATTAATGTCAGGTGTACAATATAATGATCAACATTATATAATGTATAAAATCAACATTATATAATGTATATAATAATTCTATACATTTCTCACTGCTCATCCTGTATGCCTAATTCCCTTCACCTATTTCACCCATCCCCCCCAGTCACCTCCCCTCTGGCAACTGTGGGTTGAACAAATCGGTATTTAAGTTGTCGGTATTAAGTTAATCGGTATTAAGTTGTCAGTATTCTGTTGTCTCTTTTCCTCTTTGTTCATTTGTTTTGTTTCTTAAATTCCACATGAGCGATATCATATGGTATTTGTCTTTCTCTGACTAATTTTACCTAGCATTATACCCTCTGGATCTATCCATGTTGTTGCAAATGGCAAGATTTCATATACATATATACATATATATATACCTACACACACACACCACGGAATATTACATATACATATAAAATAATCACATTTATACATATACATTATTGAAATACATATATATTATTTATATACATACAAAACAATCACATTTTCTTTATCTATTCATCCATTATCACACATTTACGCTGTTTCCATAACTTGGCTATTGTGAATACTGCTGCTATGAACATAGGAATACAGATATCTCTTCAGGATAATTATTTCATTTCCTTTGCATATATACCCAGAAATGAGACTTCTAGATCATATGGCAGTTCTATTTTTAATTTCTTTATGAACCTCTATACTGTTTTCCATAGTGGATGTATCAGTTTACATCTCTACCAACAGTATCCGAGGGTTTTCTTTTCTCCACATCCTTGCCAGCATTTGTTATCTCCTGACATCCTAACAGGAGTGAGGGGATATCTTATTGTGGTTTTGATATTCCTTTCTCTGGTGATTAGGGCTACTGAGCAGCTTTTCATGTACCTGTTGGACATCTATAGGTCTTCTTTAGAAAAATGCATATGCAGGCCCTTTGCCCATTTTTCAGTTGGGTTACTTGGGGTTTCTTATTTTGCTATCGAGCTGTACAAGATTTTATATATTTTGGATATTAACCTGTTATCAGGTATGTGGTTTGCAAATATTTTCCTCCATTTCCATAGGTTGTCTTTTCATTTTATTGATGGTTTCCTTTGCTGTGCAGAAACTTTTTAGTCTGATATAGTCCCAGTTGTTTATTTCTGCTTTTGGTGTCAAATGCAAAACACTATTACCAAGATCAATATCAAGAAGCTTATGCCCATGCTTTCTTCTGGGAGTTTTGTGGTTTCAGATCTTATGTTCAAATCTCTAATCCATTTTGGGTTGATTTTTGTGTATGACATAAGATAGAAGTTAGTTTCATTCTTTTGCATGTGGATACGTATGGCTGTATGTTTTCAGGAATTTATTTCTTCTAGGTAGTCTAATTTGTTGGCATATAATTGTTCACATTAGTAGAAACTATGATCCTTTATATTTCTGTGGTATCAGTTGTAACTCTACTCTTTCACTTAAAATTTTATTTACTGAGTCTGATCTCTTTTTTCTTAGTATAGTTCAATATTTGTCAATTTCATCTTTTTTAAAAACTTGCTTTCATTGATCTTTTCTATTGTCTTTCTCATCTCGATTTCATTTATTTCTGCTCTGATCTTTGTTATTTCCTTCTTTCTACTAACTTTGAGCTTAGTTTGTTCTTTTTCTAGTTCTTCAAGATAAACAGTTATGTTGTTGATTTGAGATCCTTTCCTTCTTAATGTATGCGTTTATCACTATAAACGTCCCTCGTAGAACCACTTTTGCTGCACCTCGTAAGTTTGAGATGTTGTGTTTCCATTTTCATTTGCCTTAAGATTTTTTTAAATTTCTTTTTTCATTTATTTGACCAATTAGTTGTTCAGGAGAATGTTGTTTAATTTTTATATATTTGTGAATTTTCCCATTTTTTCCTTGTAATTGATTTCTAGTTCCACACCATTGTGGTCAGAAAATATGATTTCAATCTTCTTAAATTTATTAAGACATGTTGTGTGGCCTAACATATGGTCTCTTCTGGAGAATGTTCCATGTATGCTTGAGAAGAATGTGCATTCTCCTGCTGTTGGTGGGAATTTCTGTATATATTCTGTACGTCCATCTGGTCTAACATAATTTAAGTCCCATGCTTCCTTATTTAGTATCCATGTAGATGATCTGTCCATTGTTGGAACTGAGGTATCTAAAACCCCTGCTATCATTGTATTGCTATCTATTTCCCTGTTCAGATCTATTAATATTTGCTTTATATATTTAGGGGCTCCTATGTTGGGTGCATAATATTTACAGTTGTTATATTCTTTTGATGAATTGACCCCTTTGTCATCATATGAAGGCTTTCTCTGACTGTTGATACAGAGTTTGTCTTAGTCTATTTTGTCTACTATAAGTATAGCTACCCCCCCTGATTTGTTTTATTTGTTTTGGCTTTTATTTGCATGGAGTATCTTTTTCCATCCCTTCAATGTCAGTCTGTGTGTGTCCTCAAAGCTGAGGTGAGTCTCTTGTAGCCAACAGATGGTTGGATCTTTTTTTTTTTTAATCTATTCAACCACTCTGTATCTTTTGATTAGAGGATTTAGTCCATTTTAAATTTAAAGTAATTATTGATAGGTATTATGTTAATGATTTTCTGTCTGTTTTATAATTCCTTTGTTCCTCTCTTGATCTCCTCCTTTGTAGTTTGATGATTTTTCTGTACTGGTATGCTTTGATTCCTTTCTCTTTCTCTTTTGTATACTACAGGACTTTGTTTTGAGGTTACCACGAGGCTTACATAAAACATCTCATATTGATAGCAATCTATTCTACCAATAACAGGTTAACTTCAAACATATACTCTACATTTTTAACCCTCTCCTTACCTTTTATATTTTGATGTCACAATGTACCTCTTTTCACCTAGTGTATCATTAAAAAATTATTGTAGTTATAATTATTTTTAATACTTTTGTCTTTTAACCTTCATACTAGAGTTAAAAGTAACTTACCCACGACATTATTCTCTAAATTTAACTATACATTTACCTTTACAATGAGTTTTATACTTTCATATGTCTTCTTGTTACAAATTAGCTTTTTCTGTTACTAATTAACTTACCATTTCTTTCAGCTTAAAGAACTCCTTTTAACATTTTTTGTGAGGCTAGTGTGATGAACTCCTTTAGCTTTATCTGTCTGATAAACTCCACTGCTCCTTCAATTCTGAAGGACTCCTTCACTGGGTAGGGTATTCTGGGTTGGTGCTTTTTTTCTCTTGGTGCTTTGAATATATCACCCCATTCCCTTTTGGCCTACAAGATTTCTGCTGAAAAATCTGTGATAGCCATAAGGAGGGGGCAGAGTTAAGATGGCGGAGTAATAGGGGGACCCTGAACTTGCCTTGCCCTTCAAATACAGCTAGATCAACATTCAACTATTTTGAACAACTAGGAAGATGATCTGAGGATTAAGGAAACAATCTGCACAGTTGGAGAGAGAGAACGTGGCAGATGCAAGGTTTGGAACCATGAATTGGGGGAGAGGAAAGCATCACAGCCACAAAGGGGAGGGAACCCTTTTCATGGAGCAAACTCAGGAAGAGAGAGAAAATGGGAAAGAACCCAGCGAGTAGGGACCACACAATAAGCCTCGGTGAGGAGATCCCCTGGGTCGCACAGTGAGAGATCACTCCCCTTCCCAGAGGGCATTTGGAAGAGCATATTTTGCCTCTCCAAGGACAAAAGGCCAGCCAGGAGCCATTAAGCGGGGCTCAACAGCAGGGTCAGAGGTGCGTGCAAAGGGCAGAAAGCCTCTTAAGACTTTGCTGTGAGTCACAATAGGTTTAAACCTCTGTGTGCACATCAAGTGGCTGCTTTTCTTCAACAGAACTAAGCAGAAAGTAGAGACAGGAGCAGATTGCAGATAACCTGGCCACCACTTTTTGCTGTCTGCCACAATAGATTCAAACCTCTGCAATGGCTTCTCTGGGACAGAAAGGAGTAGGGGACTGAATCAAGTGCAGATAGCCCATAAACTGGCTTCAGCTTTTTGCTGAGTATTACAATAAACTCTAGCCCCTGAGTGCATACTGTGCAATGGCTTTTCAGGGATAGGATGGTGCTGGGCACACCCTGAGCCTCTCCTCAGAGGGAGAGGAGTGAGCCCACACCTTACCAGGCTGTTTAAAACTTGGAGTTTTGAATCCCAGCCACCAACCAGAGATAAAATCCAGGAGATCTGTGGCTCCAGACATGCTGATGGCCTGGGCACAGACAAGTTAAAGACAAGGAACTGATGAAAGCCCGGGACACAGAAGATTCTTTGTTTTCTAACAGGGCCTCCTGAACAGCAGTAGCCATGAGTTCTGCTCCCAGGGACAAGACAGCGGGGTGATGCCATAGTCTTACTCCTCCACACCCCTCTCTCCCACCCACCAGCACAATCGGACTTCAGAAAGAAACAGCATCTCCAGTGGAGGCTGGAATCCCCTACACTAAGACACCCCCCCCTCCCTGCACCTGGCAGGAGCATCTTTACAAAGGCAAAAATTCACCCCAAAAGAAAGAACAGGAGGCAATACT